GCGACAAAATATTTCGTCGCGCAAACTATTAAATTAGTTTATTTTAGTTTAAAATTTTCAAAAAACAAAAATTAAAAAAAATGAATATTTCGTCGTGCAAACCTTTGCGCGACGTTAACATTCGTCGCGCAAAGTACACTTGCGCGACATTAACTTTCGTCGCGCAAAGGAGATATTATTCGTCGCGTAAAGTATTAATATTCGTCGCGCAAAGTTGTTATTGTCCGTCGCGCAAAGTTTTCAGGATTCGTCGCGCAAAGTTGTTATTTTCATCGCGCAAAATCGTCATGGTTCGTCGCGCAAGTTGTTATCCTTCGTCGCGCAAAATGGCTTTGTGTGACGAAGAATTTTCGTCGTCGCGCAAACCCATTCTTTACGAGTTTTGCGCGACAGAACTTGCGCAACCAAAATTTCATCGCGCAAACTTTGCGCGACGAAATTTTCCTTTGTGCGACCAAAAATCATTCGTCGCGCAAAGTGTTTTTTGTAGTAGTGAAGGTAAGCTTTAGCCATTTTGCTATTGTAAATCACAAAGCTCAAGATTAATTAGTCTAGGATAGACTTGGTTGAAGAGAGCTACTATGACTAAGATAAAGTGTGTCTAAATGCAAATTGGCTCAAAGGTAAAATCTTGCATTGCATATATTAGGATATGTCAAGTCAATGTGTTGGCTAATCATCCGTTACTCCCAACCCATTTAAATTCTTACGTGAGACTCACACATTAACAGCTACAGGTTTTCTGTCCTAACAAATTTTGTCTAATTTAAATTCAGGGTCATTTTATAGAAATTGTTTTATTACTTTCAAAAAATATGTAAAAAGAAAACTATTTGAGCACATAAATGGGAATTGAGACAAACCAACTCTAGTGTGTTGTGTGCTCATATATATATATATATATATATGCGCAATAAAAATTGAGAGATTTACTATTATACCCAATATAAGGGCCCAAATTATAAAAATACCCTATATGAAATGGACTTTAGAAACACACTCAATGCTCATTTACAACATACGAAGAGGCTTTTAACTTCTTTTAAATTACAAACCTGCCATTGATTTCTTAAAACAAATTCAACCTCAAAACCTCATAAAAAAACCAAAAACACTCAATAGAACATCAAAGTAATTTAATAATCAAAATTAAATTGAATAGGGTATATAACTATATGCCTATGACCACCACAACAATGGAACAATCTATGTCAGTTAATTAAATGTTCTCGATAAAATATAATTGGAATAGATAATACTACTGAATGCTCCAACTTATTTTCATATTCACAGGCCCACTTATTTTTCAATCCTTGGGATGCATACAAACTGGCATTCATTAGTTGAGAAATTCAAAGCTCCTCAATCAATAGCAGAATTCTATAGTATTTAATGATTGTAGAAAAACTTATATGAACCGCGGATAATATTATTTTACTATTTTCTGTCAATTATATAATATTATATGAAAAAGTTATCACACGCGATATACCGTGATTGGCCAAAGATAGCAAAATAGTGTTATCTCCGTTTTATGTAAGTATTTCTCCACCATGACTATGCATACAAATTTAATGCATTAATTAGGCTACACATGGCGTATTCATTTCTAACTTTAAAATACCTTGAGTGAACTATCCAATCCAATCATAATCACGAAAGAATTTGATTATTCTACTGATTGTATAATGTAGTAGCTAAGGATTCCCCTTTGTAAATCATTAATTAAGATATTTCCAATACCAGAAATAATATTTTAATTTGTATACAATTGTGTTGAATCTGAATTACGTTTGAAAGAAAGAATAAATAAAAATGTTAGATTCTGTAGCTCTCTATACCCCGCTGCCTTTTGCATACTGTGTACCAGAGAGAAAGAATAATATGTTGGTAATTATTGAATAGAACAATTATTGAATGAAATTTCACACCTTTTTTCATTCAAAGTATTTGTGTAGAGGTAGAGATAGAGAGAGAAAGAAAGAAAGGGTTGAGTTAGTACTTCTGTGGTGCATCGGCTGTATCGGTACAGCCAGTCACTGTGCTTGTTTTTAAAAACAAGGGAAACCGGCTGTTTTGGGTAACAGGTTAAATGAAGTTAAAAAAAACCACGCGCTCGTTCTTCAACTTGCTCTGAACTGTCGCTCGTACTACTCCTCTGTATTGTGGAGCTGGATAGTCTCGACGGCGCAAACCGGTGGCAGAGGACGGGTCGGACTCGCTTGAATCGTCTCAGAGCTGCGTCGACCTTTCGGACCTTGCGATCGTTGTGTCGTCGTGGGAAGATGCGTTAGAGTTGTTGGGTTGTGCTGCGTTCACGGCAGCAGCGGCGGCGGCGCTGATATTGTTGGGAAACGTCATCGTCGCGGAAGCTTCGACTTCGCCTTCGGCGTTTGTACAGAACGTCATCTACTCAACAAGATTGCCATCTTCTCCAATTCCTATTGCCCGTATGTTATTATCTCGCTATTGCTTGTTCATTTTGGCTTTTGTGATAAATTTAAGGTATTGGGATTGGAAATTCATAAAGCAATCAAATTGGAATTTGAGAATTGTGAGTTGGTCAATTTGATAATTATGAGAAATATTTAGAGTGTTCATGTTGAGGAAAATATGAATCCATCATCTCAAATGGGACCTTTTTACTAATTTATAGATTACTTTTCATTTTCATGGATTTATTGCATTGTTTTCTAATTCTGGGAAATGAATTGGTGCGTTTCATCTACTAAATCTTCAGCTTTCTGTTATTGAAATACTTCGCAAGTTGAGTAGAAATGTTTAGAAAAAGAACTCTGTGCATGCCTGTGTGTGTGAATTTAAGTAATGTTGGAATGAGGGATTGTGTGCTGTTTTGTGGATTCTTCTTTGAGGGTCTCTTGCTTGGTGAGAATTGTACAGACAGGGAAAGGGGAAGTGGGTAGACAGAGCCAAACTCTCACCCAGAAGCAGCTCCTCATCACTTTCATGTGGTACAACAAAATTTCAGGCCAAAGCTTGACCATCAACGTTGGGACAAAGACAATACCCCTTCACCATTCAAATTCAACTTCAATTCACATGCATCTGGCTGGGAGATTTTAGTTCCCAAGCATCTGGCTTCTCTTGGTTGTTGTTTCTTTGTTTTTTCTCTCTTATTTTTTTAATTTATTTAGAGCAACAAGTTTGGGTTTTGTGAATTTTTCTTCCTTCAATTTTTCCCTTGTCCTTTTAAAAAAAATAAATTAATATGAGGTTCTCTAATATATTAAATTAGATTTTTTTAATCGTAGCATAAGATTTCGTTTTATTGTAATAAAAATTCATTCATCTTAGTCATCAAAGAAAATAGAGCATTGAGATACCAGTTAGAGAATAAGAAAAGAGAGGTTGTGGTGAGGTTCAATCAGGGGTTTGGGTTTAATGGTGGTGGAGGTGGTGGTGGGAAAGATGACGGAGCTACTGCTAGAGTTCTGGGTAATTTAGCTTTGGCTGTTGGATTGATTTATCTTTCATTTACTGGGCAGCTTGGTTGGATTTTGGATGCAATTGTTTCCATTTGGGTACTCTCTTTCATTTAGCAACTGATTTGGGGTTTTTCTCACAAATCTTAGTTCCTTTACATTTCTTAAAAAAAACAGGTAGTCTAATATAATCATTTTTATTTTTGACTCTGACATCAGCATGTAGGATTATATCTCTAATGAAATTGATGCTTTTTCACATCCAGCTCCTTGCAGTGCTTGTAGCAATTGATGGTGTGGGTGCTTTTCTGTGGTGGGCGAGGCAGGATATGGTTCAAGACAGTGTAAGGCTACTTCTATTTTTTATCTTGCTCACTTCTTAAAGCTCATAGTTTTCTTCAACTGTGGTATCAAAAATCTATTGTTGCCTAGTGAAAACACAACCCAAGTTGTTGAGTGCCTTAATTTCCATCCTCTCAATTTGATGATTCCCTCTACCAGTTTGGCACCTACAAGTGACTGGTAAAACCTTTTTTATTATTTATGTCAGGTTCAGTTATATTTTTAAAAATATATTAGGTCTTACATGATGTTTTGGCATTTGTGGACGGTTAATTTATCAATTTACAGATCTTCTAGTGGATAGTGTACCGTGTACCGTGTACTGAAACGCTCTATGATTTTTCTTTTATTTGGAGTTGACAATTAAGTAATATTGGCGTGCTCTTGATTTCAAAAAACTGTATCACAGGTGCTATATAAACAGGTAATCTGGATTGGTGTTGGATAGTTTCCATGAATAGGCATGTAGAAATCTATTGTGTTATAATGAGTTCATTCTTTCCCATGTGAGATGTATCAGATAAATGCATGATATGTATAGGATGTTTGGAAAAGGTTTGAGTACGCAAGTGAAACTCTTTCATGTAACAATTCACGAACGCTTCATCCACATCTTGTAATCAAGTAATGTCAGAGTAACATCCTGAGGGTGATTTTCAATTGTGAAGTTTTATTTATTTCTTACTCTGATGTCTTTTGCTTTTAATGAACAACAACCATTGTTCCCATAAAGTTCCATATAGTGAGGACTTGAGAAAATGGTTATGCACCATATGTTGTTCCCATAAAGTGCCATATAGTAGGGATGAATTTCCCATAAAGGTTTTCTTATACTGTGTTGCTCGTGATCTTCTAAGTGCTAGATAACTTAGTTCATTTTGAGTATTTTTAGTTTTAAATGTAATTTTTATTGTGATTTAAATATCATGTTACAATGGATAGATTTGCAGGTTGTATGTAATTATATTTATTTTAATTAGTTTGCAATTTCTATTTTCAATTTATTTTTTAATATATTTATTTTATTATTAGGTTCAGCTTGGTTTTGCTTCTGAATCAGTTATGAAGCTTTGCAGAAGTGAATTAACAAAAATTAACCAATGCCCTTTGGTTATGTTGGTTGTTGATTGATTGCAAATAAAACAGATGGAGGAAAGGGTAATTGTACACCGCTGTCTAGTTTTTGTATCATGGGACGTGCAATTGCGTAGTCTCTTTAAAGCCTAAATTGGAATAAAATTCATTTTTAATGACTTTTGTAAACCAAGATATGCAATTGCATACCATTTATGCAATGGTCGACCTTATATATGCAATTATTACCTTTTGTACAAACAAATTTCACTCTCTTGCTTTCTCGAAGTACACAAACTAGTGTAGATTTAATAAGCAAGTGAAACTTTTTCAAGTTTTTGGAACTCAAATGGTTGTTCAAGTTCTTGGAACTCAAATGGTTTTTCAGGTTTTTATACTCGAGATCGATATTTTAATCATTACCCTTAACATGGATGGTGATGAATCCAATTTCTGCATCTCACAAAGGTAAGGTCAAGGATTAAAATATCGGTCGTGCAGATAATATCGGGCTTCTAATTTACGGATATTTGGGGGAATATATCGTTATCGTTTTAGATATCAGAAAAAAGTCAACAAAAATGACAAATACAGGCATTGAAATACGTAATTTTGGTGTAAAATTTTTATAAATGTTATGTACATGATCAATGAATGTATTGAACAAATAAAACTCAAAATTTACTAATAATAAGATATACATATGATGAAATATAAGTGGTATGTAATACGTATTAATGAAAAGTTTGAAGATAAAATGTTGATTAGAATAGTTTGTTTAAATATTGGATTATAATTTAGGCAAGTGTCCATCTACATAAATGAAGAGCTCCTATGAGGTGCAAACAATGAGGAGCAGCCATCTAGATTCATATTCACTTCCTTTTCCACTAAGTGATTGCTTAGGGACCTTAGCGTACAATCTAGGCTGTTTCCCTCTTGACTTTGGATATACCAAGTCATGTAATCCGACTTTGGATATAACAATAGTATATATCACACCCATACATTTTTTCCTTAAAAAATAATAATAATAATTTCTTCAACTCAAAATAAAACACTCATTCTTGTCTTCTTCTTTCTCGTGAACTCTTATTTTTTTCTTACCGAACATACCAACATTTAAATTTATCAAATGAACGCAACATACCCAATGAACGCAACCCCTGCGTTCGCGTGGAAAAATAGTGCGTTTGTTTGATAAAGTATTTTATTTGGTCCAATTTCTCGGGGAACGGCGAACTTTACTCAACGAACGCACTCTCTGCGTTCGCCTGAAAAAGTAGCCTATTTGTTTGAAAAAGTAAGTTAGTGGGGTCCATTTTCTTGGGGAATAGGTAATTTTACTCAACGAACGCACCCATTGCATTTGCGTGAATAAATATTCCGTTTGTTTGAAAAAATAAGTTAGTGGAGTCCTTTTTTCTGGGGATAGGACAACTTTACTCAACGAACGTAACCCATGCGTTCGCGTGAACAAATAGCCTTTTTTTTTTTAAACGCACTCTCTGCGTTCGCCTGAAAAAGTAGCCTATTTGTTTGAAAAAGTAAGTTAGTGGGGTCCATTTTCTTGGGGAACAGGTAATTTTACTCAACGAACGCACCCATTGCATTTGCGTGAATAAATATTCCGTTTGTTTGAAAAAATAAGTTAGTGGGGTCCTTTTTTCTGGGGATAGGACAACTTTACTCAACGAACGTAACCCATGCGTTCGCGTGAACAAATAGCCTTTTTTTTTTTTTTTTGAAAAAGTAAGCTAGTCAGGTGATGAAAGTCTCAAATTACATCTTTTTAATATTATTTTGGAGACTTTATGATATAATTTTGGCTTAATAAACATAATTTCACTTGCTGTTACATTTTATTCTCACCAACTGGATTCATGAATTTTCTATATTAATTTGGTAAACTTATTAGGTAAATTTATCTTTTGTAGGAAGTTGGAAAGCCAAAAGATGAACATACATTTGTCCAAGTTCGAGCCAGGTGTGAAGAAAATTGTTGGTGGATTTTATTGAAGAATTGATTGTGGGATTATTGTGATTATAAAGAAAGAAAAGAGAAACAAAACCGTTGAAGCTAAAAAGCCTATTTTATGTCATTCATAGCCATTTAACGGCCACTACCTCACCGTTATTTCTTTTCCACCAACTCTCCACCGTCATCACATGTTTAATCCAATGAATCTCTCACTTAGACCCTTCATTACCTACCACGAATGTATTAACTTCCCACTCACCTCATTGACTACTATAAATCACTCATCAACTTATTTGGCAAGGCATCTTGACGACAGATTTCTTTATCCATTTCTTTCAAAATTTAGTTATGTTTTCCTTTGTAATGAGTTGCTAGAACTTAGGCTAAGGCTAAAGGGAATGTCTTTTGAGTAAGTTTGTGAATTGTTCTTTAATCCAATATACGGTATGAATTGCTAAATTCTTTTATTTTTGGTTGTTCAATATTTTCATATCCTTTAATTTTGATTGATGTTAAGTGCTACTATCTTTTCATGAGTTCAATAATATTTTTCTCATTATTAAGAACTGACTTAGCATGCTTTTAAATTAAAAGATTAGATATTAAGCAATTAGATTTTCTGAACAATCATTAATAAAAGATAACATTGAAAAAGTAAATTAGTTTTAATTTCTTTATCTTCCGGTTAAAGTTTCTCAATGATAATTTTAATCGAGTTTAATTTGGATTAAAGAGCATGAAACATATTTTGCTTAAAGAATTGAACCTTGATGTCTTAGCATTTCCATTATTGATACTTCATTTTTAAACTCAATCTCTACAACAATCAAATGAAATTACTTGTCCATTTTGCTTGTCACTTTTATTTTGGTACTTTTAATTATTTCTTTATGTGCAGACATTTGCCTACCTGCTCCTTGAGGATACGATACTTGGACTTCAAAGATTATTACTACGTGTGACTACTTGCACTTGGGTAGATGCAACATCAGGTCCATTTTTCCAAGGAATGGGCAACTTTACTCAACGAACGCAACTCATTGCGTTTGTGTGAACAAATAGCCCGTTTGTTTGATAAAGTAAGTTAGTTGGGCTCACTTTTCTGGGGAATGGGCAATTTTACTCAAGGAATGAAAACCCCTGCGTTCGCGCGAACAAATTGCCCGTTTGTTTGAGAAAGTAAGTTAGTTGGGCTCATTTTCCGAGGAACGGACAACTTTACTTAACAAATGCAACTCTTGCGTTCGCATGAACAAATAGCCCGTTTGTTTTAAAAAATAAATTAGTTGGGCCAATTTTTCTGAGGAACATGAAACTTTATTCAACGAACCCAACTCATTGCGTTCGGATGAACAAATAGCCCGTCTGTTTGAAAAAGTAAGTTAGATGAGTTCATTTTTCAGGGGAATGAGAAACTTTACTCAAGGAATGCAACCCCTTGCGTTCGCGTGAACAAAATGTCCGCTTGTTTGAAAAAGTAAGTTAGTTAGGCTCATTTTTTCGAGGAACAGGAAACTTTACTCAAGGAATGCAACCCCTTGCGTTCGCATGAACAAATATTCCGTTTATTTGAAAAAGTAAGTTAGTTTGGTCTATTTTTCCATGGAACAGGCAACTTTACTTAACGAACACAACCCCTGTGTTTGCGTAAACAAATAGCCCGTTTGTTTGAAAAAGTAAGTTGGATTGGTCCATTTTTCCGGGAACATGAAACTTTACTCAATGAACGCACCCTTTGCATTCGCTTGAACAAATAGTCCGTTTGTTTGAAAAAGTAAGTTTGTTGGGTCCATTTATTCGCGGAACATGCAACTTTACACAACGAACGCAACCCCTATGTTAGCGTGAAAAAATAGCCCGTTTGTTTGAAAAAGTAAGTTAGTTTGGTCCATTTTTCGGGTAAACATGTAACTTTACTGAACGAACGCACCCCTTGCGTTCGCTTGAACAAATAGTCTGTTTGTTTGAAAAAGAAAGTTGGTTGGGTCCAATTTTCCAAGAACGAGCAACTTTACTCAATGAACGCATTCGTTGCATTCGCTTGAACAAATAGCCCATTTGTTTGAAAAAGTAAGTTAGTTGGGTCCATTTTTTCAGGAAACGGGCAACTTTACACAACGAACGCAACCCCTGCGTTAGTGTGAAAAAATAGCTCGTTTGTTTGAAAAAGTAAGTTAGTTGGGTCCATTTTTCGGGTAAACATGTAACTTTACTGAACGAACGCACCCCTTGCGTTCGCTTGAACAAATAGTCCGTTTGTTTGAAAAAGAAAGTTGGTTGGGTCCATTTTTCCAAGAACGAGCAACTTTACTCAATGAACGCATTCGTTGCATTTGCTTGAACAAATAGCCCATTTGTTTGAAAAAGTAAATTAGTTGGGTCCATTTTTTCAGGGAACGATCAACTTTACACAACGAACGCAACCCCTGCGTTAGTGTGAAAAAATAGCCCGTTTGTTTGAAAAAGTAAGTTAGTTTGGTCTATTTTTCGGGTAAACGGGCAACTTTACTGAACGAACGCACTCTTTACGTTCGCTTGAACAAATAGCCCATTTATTTGAAAAAGTAAGTTGGTTGGGTCCATTTTCCAAGGAACGAGCAACTTTGAACGGGCAACTTTACACAACGAACGCAACCCCTGCGTTAGTGTGAAAAAATTGCTCGTTTGTTTGAAAAAGTAAGTTAGTTTGGTCCATCTTTCGGGTAAACATGTAACTTTACTGAACGAACGCACCCCTTGCGTTCGCTTGAACAAATAGTCCGTTTGTTTGAAAAAGAAAGTTGGTTGGGTCCATTTTTCCAAGAACGAGCAACTTTACTCAATGAACGCATTCGTTGCATTTGCTTGAACAAATAGCCCATTTGTTTGAAAAAGTAAATTAGTTGGGTCCATTTTTTCAGGGAACGATCAACTTTACACAACGAACGCAACCCCTGCGTTAGTGTGAAAAAATAGCCCGTTTGTTTGAAAAAGTAAGTTAGTTAGGTCCATTTTTCGGGTAAACGGGCAACTTTACTGAACGAACGCACCCTTTACGTTCGCTTGAACAAATAGCCCATTTATTTGAAAAAGTAAGTTGGTTGGGTCCATTTTCCAAGGAACGAGCAACTTTACTCAATAAACGCACCCCTTGTGTTCGCGTGAACAAATAGTCCGTTTGTTTGAAAAAGTAAGTTGATTGAGAATATTTTTCCGGGGAACAGCTGACAGGACCCGGCCCGAATTCCTCAAAACCTAGGACGAATCCAGTGAAAATTTTTGACATCTTACCGATGTTGGGCCCACTTACTAAGAACCGAGACTTTCTACCAAAATTTCGGCAGAATCTCTCCTGAAAATTGGACTTTTTCCCAAATTCTTTCTCGAACTTAAAATGACCTTTTTGCCCTTTAGTATTAATTAATATTTTAATTTTTTTTTAAAACCTTAATTAATTCAAATCATTTTATTTTATTGTTTATTTCAATTTATTTCCTCATTTAACTTTATTCTCTCTTACTTTAATTATTTTATTACTTTTTCAAACCGGGATGTTACAATCTACCCCCCTTATAAAATTTCGTCTTCGAAATTTCATACATGTCACTTGAAGGGGCATGGATACTGGGCCCACATCTACTCAGGTTCCCAAATAACCTTGTTCACAGTTGATAAGACGGAAACTTAACTTCCCATGTTTCCCGAACTTCCACAAAATGTGGCTTCGATCCGAGGGTCACCCCACTTCAAAACATTCCAAAAGCTAGCCTTTAAAACATTAATATCAACAAAATGCAACCCTGGGTGATGATACATTGGTATCTCTCTCGACATTTGTCCGCTGTCAAGGATAACGCAACTTCATCTCTTTCTAGAATCCATGCTGAATAAGTTGTTCCCATTAACAAGTAGCTCTAATGACGACAAATTTTCCCTTTTATAAAACTATCATTTTCCTTTTCTTTAGGATTAACAACCGATATTGCAAATATGATTCTTCAAGAGGAATACCAGAAAGGATCATTTTTACCGAATTGTAATCATCATCCACCTCAACATGATTACTTTTCAGATCTTTCATAAGTAATTCCATGAAGTACTCTTTTGGTGCCCCTCCATGACATAAAGGTGCAATTAAAGGTCTCGTGCTACATGGAGGTGGGCATGTGCATATAAGGCACATCACCTCCTCTCCGTTGTTAAATGTGAGATATTACAATCCACCCCTCTTAGGGACCTGACGTCCTCGTCAACACACTCACACCACACGGTAAAGTGGCTCTAATACCAAATTGACAGGACCCGCCCCGAATTCCTCGGAACCCATGACGAATCTTGTGAAAATTTCTGACATCATACCGATGTCGGGCCCACTTACTAATAACCAAGACTTTATGCCGAAAAACGTAAAACTCCATTTTTCTTATTTTCGTTTGCGCACAGTCACTCTTGCATTGCATCACCATCATGCAATTGCATGTCTGCAATGCAAACGCTGCCCGACTGTTAGCAAACTCTTCGGAGTGTAGACACGAAGCCCGTTTGTTTGAACAGGCAACTTTACTCAATAAACGCAACCGCTGCATTCGCGTGTACAAATAGCCTGTTTGTTTGAAAAAATAAGTTGGGTCTATTTTTCCAGAGAACGGGCAACTTTACTCAATGAACGCAATCTTTGCGTTTGCGTGAACATATAGCCCTTTTGTATTCCTTTCATATTATTTTATTTTACATAATTCAATTATGTTTAACGTATGAAATGACCAATTTGCCCTCATATTTAATGACAAATTGGATGAAATGTTAGGTAATTAAACGGCAAGGGAGTTATTGGCGACAAAGACAAATTCATATCCTTAATTTTATAATAAAATGTCATGAGATAAATTGAAAATTGGGTACAAGTTCAAGGACTAAATCCACATTTTAGCCATGTTTAGTGGTTTTTGTGGGCATATATCTCATATTTGATAGCACATGTGTGCAATTCTCAGTTTATAATATGCATATGCATATACCTGTACGCAATTTCGTAACATCTGTTTGCAATTCTCATTTTACCATATGCAATTGCATATGTATGCAATTTCGTAACATCTGTTTGCAATTCTTAATTTACAGTATGCAATTGCATTCTGCACTTTTCCTGAATCCTTAGCCAGAGCAACCAATACCAATCATGAACATCACATTTTAACCATACACTTACAGATTTAGCAATACAATCTTTGAAATGGTAATGGCAACCCAAGCATATTAAGCTTCAATTAGAAACATAACTGTGCATCCAAAAGCTGGGTTTAGGGAGAGAGAGAGAGAGTATGAAAACATGAGTATACAATAACTTACATAACTCAATACCTTTTTCATGATGAGCTTTCACTTACAAAAACACTTCAATTTAGACATGTGAAAACTCTAAAATTGGGGTCCATTGAACTCCATTTCAGTGACAGATGTGTGCCATTGAACTCATATTGTTGTAACAATATATCAACTGGTTGGCTTGAACAAGGCCACCATCAGAGCATGCAATTACAGAGATGCTGAACCAAACAATACTCATGGTCTCACTGCTGCTGGATTGGTAGCCCACCCACACAAAACTCCCCAATTATTGGAAAGCTCACTAACACATCAATGGCTCCAAGTCCTTTGGAATGAGCACTGGGAGAAAGAAGTAAAGCTCTCAATGACTCAAACATGAAAAAGAAAATAAAATGCTAGCTACTATCCCAACATTACCAAATATGGGAATGATATCTTCAATTTCTCTTTCCCTTGGAGAACACATGGGAATTGATTTCCCATAAACTAATTTACATGAACCAAACAGGGCCTAAGAATAAGGCCAAGTCCCAACCACAACATGGGATAAACAATCCAAAAAGAGCATATTACGATGTGCATTTAAAGCTTCAAATCTCTTATAGCCATAACTCACACAAAGTGTTCCACTACTCAATACTTTGTCTAGAATAAAAGGAAGAAACTCGATAACACAAAATCCTATTAACTTACTTTTATCACTTGTTTATTGCATCATACAATACTCTGGGTCTGAGTATATGTACCTTTTACCTGGTAATCCTTCCGAATACTTGTTCGTGAGACATGAGCCAACTGCCTCCATCACTGCCCGATATGTAAAATTTTCTGAGGCAATAAGCTCAAGGCTCTTGAACTGTCGCTCCTTCTCCTTTCCAATAATACCACACAACTCAGGGTCAGCCACACTTAACCCATTGTCTATAAAACTGCTTCCATCGCCTGTAAATCAATTAATACAATTTAGAACAAGTCAGACATAATTCCTGCTACTAACCAATGACTCCTTTGATAATTCAACAGAAGTTGGAAAAATCCAAGCCGAATATATGGTTTTTTAAAGGCTTTTTCATTTATAAAGATGGTTCTTTCAAAAAATTGAGTAATGAAACTCTACAGTTGTACTTAAAGTAGTGATTACAAAACCTCCAAAGATGAATACACAAAGCATATAGCATTCTGGCAGATGCCAAGGAAAAGGATACCTTTTTTTTCGTTTTTATGTTTTCTTTAAGTGAAACTGACATTAAAAATTATAACACCATAACCTTTGCAATCCCAGAAGTATTCCTAACAAAGAAATCCCAAAAAACAAAAACTTAAATTACATTTCAATACGATTTACCAATGGAATCACAACTACATAGAAGTAATTGATAACCGCTCAATGGTTGGAGTATAATTACCTCCAATTTCTGGCAAAGGCACAGAGACAGAAGAGGATGGCCTTCCAGCAACCAAGCTTCCTTCAATGTAAGAATAAGATCTACGGGTCTTCACGTAATTGAGTTTTAATTGATGTGAATATCCACCAAAGCTAAGCCTCTTGTTTGGAAAAGTTGTTCCTTTGGTCCAAGTGGGCTGTTGAAGAGAACCCATCACTGCAGCTCCACCACAAGCCTGCATCTTGGCTTCCAAATACTATGCCCGACGCACAAGCTCCTACAGATTTCACACAAAACTATGAGCGGTGAGCACAAGTTTAACATACAAACAATACGAACATACATAAATGCACACATGGGTATAGCAATTTATTTCTATAAACAAAAAACTATGCAAAGAGTTCAAAACATTGTTTGGAAAGTAGTCATTCTCATACAAAATCACACACCCTACAGTATTTGACTCCTTAAACTTCTTTTTCAAATGATTGGGGCTGAGAATTCGAAAGAGAAACGTCTTCCTAAGCAGAAGAAACACTTAGAATATGTCGACGATCGCAGCTTTTAAACAGAAAGAATAATCTAATCAAGGGGTTAATAGTAAACTTACCCACTCTATCAGGTTTGCTGAGGATAGAGCTTCCTTTGCAATCTGGCGTTAGAAGCAAAGCTGACGATGGAACTCGCACAGGGAAAACGGTGGGTTTAGTGTTAGGGTTTTTGTTCAACCAAAAAATAAAAGCACAGAGCATAATATCAGACCCGTTGCATAAACCTTGCAGAAATTTTCTTCTTTTCCAGTATGCCCATTATCAACTTCAAATCCACCACTTTGATCACGTATGCCCAGAAGGTAGCCAAGGTCAAAATCAAGAATGCAATTCCCCAACGGTAGAGTAAAAACAGTGTGGACACAATCATAATCCTGGACCCTAACCACTTGAATAGTGCCAAATCAATGAAATTTCGTGAACTACCAGAATCTCAAACACATATATGGGTGCCAAATCTTCTAAATTGAACCGATGGAAAAAGAAGACAACTAAGCAGGCAAACCTTGCGTGGATGGTGATTCCGGAATCGGCGATGTCCGATGACTGTTGCATCTCGGCGTCGACAGGGGTGAGCGCCCAGATTCTGATTTGGGACATAAATGAGGATTGGATTTTCAAGAGAGAGAGATCAATCGCAGAGATAAGTAGCTCCAGTGCACGCGAGGGCTTCTGCGCGTTCG